CACCGTGATTTTTTTAAATCAACTTGCAATGGAAATAATAAAAATTGATTTTTTTCATTTCGACCTTAGTAGGGTAGAGCGCTACTTCGTCGTAATCGCCCATTTCCGTTCTATCGATCAGAAAAGATCAATAATATCAATGATTTCACCGTGCACAAATCAATAATAGGTTTGTTCTGTTGCGTAAGTTCATTAGCTACAACATAAATCCGGTTAGAGCGCATTGTATGAATATTTACGCTCATTGTTCTCAAAACAAAAGAAGCGCTCCCTGCGAATCCTTTTTTTCTACGTTTATCCGTAGGACGAAGAAAATCTAATGGCGTTTCAATGCGATAGGACGGAATTGAAACTCGTAGAACGAATTTAGAATCAAGAAGCAGTATTAGATTTTAAACAATATCTCTACAATTTGTGGCTTTTTATCAAATCCAACGGTACGTCTGGAAAGGTGAATTAATTTAGAAGTCATCTCTGACAGAAAAATTCCATTTTTAGTTTAAACTCGTTCAGGAAAGAGAGGTAAAGTGCGCGTTGTGCTTAGTAGAACGGAAATTAGATCAAAAACCCTATAAACCCAGGATGATTCTCTGAAAGATCCGGAAGATCCGTAAAAAGTGGTCAAATCGCAAAACTGAGCGTGGAGCGTGTTATCAGACAAAATTTGGATTTGAGACCGGAATATAAACCCAGGGAGCCACAGAGTAGTTCAATGGAAGATCTGAAACAACCGTAAAAGTGTTCAAGTCGTTATGTTGATCCTAGATAGAAACTAAAAAACTAGCATAAAATATACTATCATTTTTGTTTGGATGGTTTTATGAAGTTTTTAGTAAGAACAATTTTCTACACGCAAAACAAAAATTTATTACAATGAATGTTAGTTCCATTTCCTATCATCCTCTGTTCATGAACATCACAGCGAATGTTAGAAGTTGACCTTGCAGACGATGTAATGGTTTTTCGTCTTTTTTATTTCGTGTTCTATCTACGCTTTCGACTATACCAGTAAGATTTTTATTTATAACATTGTAGAACGACGCACACACTTGTCTCGAATTTCTCCAGCAGAAAAAGCATACGATGTCGAGTATGAGAGGAAATGAGCGCTTCTTATTTGCTTTTAGGCTATCCATATTCAGAAGCATGAAGAGAGCAGTGGAGAAAGCAGAGGTCTGATAATCGCAACGTTCGTGGTTCGAGTTCAGTCGACAACCTTCTTCTATTTTTTTAATTTAATATAATTAATTACACTCACTAATACCAACAATCAATACGAAACTAACGATTTTAAATTGGCTCACTACTTGATTAGCCTATTGGTCCCAAGCAAATCGATTAACGCACCCCATTCTAGTCAAAATTCTAGTACTACACAATGTTTGTTTTGATTCGCTATGAAAGTTTGACAGATAAAATGAGGGGTTATTCGATTTTCCTATGTTTCGAGGGGTGAATCGATTAGCTTAGCGATTAGCGATTAGCCAAAAAGTTGAGCACATTTCTTCGGGACCTACTAGTCTTAGAGTTACCTCTATGCTAATACCATAGAGGTAAGTATGGTCCCGAAGAAACGAGCTCAACTTTTTGGCTCAGCACTGGTACTATCTTCAGTCCCAAGCTAATCGATGCACCCCTCGAAACATAGGAAAATCCACGAACCCCTCATTTTATCTTTCGAACTTTCATAGCGAATCAAAACAAACATAATATAGTACTAGACTTTCGACTATAATGGGGTACGTTAATCGATTTGCTTGGGATCAATACGCTAGTCAAGTAGTGAGCCAATTTCAAATCGTTAGTTTCGTATTGATTGTTGCTAATACACTCCACATTTTTCGGTCTCCAATTTTCTTGCATTCGATCGCAGCTAGGTATATCGCATGGTTCATGCGGTCTCCACTAACATCCTCTGATGATGAATCCCACATAATTGTAAGCGAATCTTACATCCCACGGTTGGGTGTTACTTTGTGTGTTCAAAAAGCACGAGAATCTCATACGTAAGATTTGTTTGCATATTCGCTCTTCAGTTTGTTCTACTCAGGAGAATTCAATGAATGAGCTTTGAGAATGTTATTCCAACCACAGCTTTGTCAGCTTTATTTTTGAAATTAAAACATGCAATTTGGTTGATTTTTAGAGTCTTTAATATAAGAGAAATAAAATTATATAAAAAATAAGTTTTCACATTTTGTCCATGGCTCACTGAATTCATGAATTACAAACATTCACCATCAGTGTTCACTCGGCTGTCGACAGAAGCAGGCTACTCTCGATGTGTGGCACGCGATCGTCTGTTAACTTGGCAGCAACCATTGTGTGGTCCTCCTCATTATTATTCATCAGCAGTTCTTTCGGTCGATGCGTCGTCGGCTTTGGAAAGCAACCGTTTCGAGATGAGTGATGACCACATTTTGCTTCCATTACTACTGACCCCCGTTGGCGATACTGCCATACAATGAAACCACTGGAAGTGGATCCTATTCTGATGTAGGAGGCTTATTGGATAGCAGAAGATAAAGTGTTTATTGTATCTTTTGACTAGAGTTTTACGATGTGTTGTATAGTAAACAAGAATCCTCAAATAAAAAAAAAAAACATCCTCCATCATTGCTTTACTACAGATTTTGCACACATGCAAAGCACAGTATGAACACATGTGCCTGGTTTTTCTATCTTTCTTACACATCTGACAACGCTTTCGTTTTTATCCAGAGTTAACTTACGCAATACCTAAGAACGAGTCTTCTGGCATTTTACACAGATATAGATTTCAAAAGAGACGCTATATTGATCAATTCCATTATTATACGTTTGGCACAAACTCTGGTGTTCCTTACACAGTTAGTATTCTGTGTAATGAAATCTCCAGCATATACTGCCTCTTGTGTTGCATTATAATCTGCAATAACTGGTGGTTCCTTAGTGTCATAGCTTGATAGATGATGATTTGTTGTGAGCATTATGAAAGGCTTCTTTTTTTTTCTATCAACAACAGAGGTAATGGAGCAATTCGGTTGTTTAGGGGTATTTAGGTAAATACATATTCGTTATCTGCCCTAAAAATGGAACCGAAATCCAAAATTTCATCAATTTTGGTACACTGGAACTATTTTAAATACGATTAAATCAGCAAAAATCACCATCTTAGCGCCCCTTGGTGGGACTTTGTATGGGAGCGAGCTGTCAACGAATAGATATAGTGTCAACGATCAACGATCAAAAAAAAATTTAAATCTTGATTTAAAAATCAAAATAAATGTCTACAGGATCGATAAAAACATCATTGTGCTCAGTAAACAAAGCTCTATCAGATGATGTATAAAAGTCGGTATATTTTTCGAAGTTAAGCAACCCAATTATTTTTGTGTCTTTCGAGCATCGTATTTGGTTCTCGTCTCTTCACTAAGACCAATACCGTTGGAAGATCAGGTTGGTTGTATCTTACGCTTACTACATAGCTCGAAAAAGTAGTGTATATTTCTGTTCAATATGATGCACATAAATGGAGCGTTACATATCATATACGTTTATATTATATATCATGTAAAGTTCTGATACATTTCATGCAATGTAGCAAATATTGTACACAAAAACCCATCTTTGTAGACAACATTGTTCGCAAGTTGCTCGGTTGCGTGAAATGAAATAGAAGTTTACGTGAATGAATGTTTACATCACAATTAAAAATCAGAACTTTTATATGTGTAGTTAATATTGTTTTCTTCTGATACAGCTCTTCAGCCAATTTCTCCGACGTGAAGAAATCTGCGGTCTTGACTTTCCGCAACGGATTTGTAAATAGCTATACGTGGAGAAAAAATACTATCCAAAATTTGAGATCTTTTTACTTAATATTGAGTTCAGCCTCTCACTTGCACTCTTTATTGTTGTCAAAAAAGGAACGCGAGATTCGACCCAACGCCCAATTAGCTACTTTTGAGTAGGGTTAACTACCCCATTTCCGGCCTATTAAGCACAACCAGCACTTAGTCTTTCTTTATCTAGTGCAGTTCAGCACCAAACCAAACGTCGGAGCGCTTCTTTTGTTTTTGGGAATAATGGGTGCAAACCTTCATATCACGCGTTCTCATTGACTTCGTTCGGAAGCTTATTAACAAAAGTATCGTACCAAACGCATAATTGACTTGTTAACTATGAAATCATGGATTTATTTGATGTTTTCTGCTCGATAGGCCCAAAATGGGCGATTAGGCCGAAGTAGTTTTCTACCCTAAATTGCATATTCTCAAATTTACGTGTAGAATATACTTAAGAGTAGGTAGTTTTTTTGTGCTGGTGTTAAATGGAAACTACTATATGCAATTTACTCAAACTTGGGCTCTTGGGCTGAACCCCGGAATTGAGGGAAAAGTAATTAATTTTGGATAGTTTTTCATCTCCGTGTACTAAGTCCAATAATAGACCCTTTCCTTGTCCTTTTTCTGCTCCTCCTTTTTTGCCAGTATGAATTTGGAAACGTATTTTCTAGGTTTTGCTCGCATATACACACACGAAAAGGAACATGACCTGAAATCCTAATTCAATAATAGAATATAGGGTGCCCCAGAATGTCTAAGCAAGACTTTGGAACACCCCTACTTGTTTCAGATGACGTTTATACAGCTGCTTATCACGTTGAATCATTGTGCACATTTTAACGAACAGTTTCGTGTATCGCAAGTGTCGATTCATTACATTTCCGTGACAATGCGAAGAATTTCTCAGGAAAAACCCAAACAGATCGTGCATTTCTCTGAGTCAATTAGCGAAATTGGAAACTATAAGCATCGGAGTCGTTCGAAACGCGATTCGAAAGAATGGTGATGAAGCAACTTTCCAGGACAAGCAAAAATCTGGACGTAAACCGAACCCTTGTTGACCGAAATCTGGACCGGAAAATCGTGCAAGCTTTCACTCGCAAGAAAAGTGCTTCGGTTCGAGACGTGGCTAAAAAGTGGTATCCTCGAAGAGTAACGTCCAGCGGGCCAAGAATGGGTATAAAGACGTATAAGAAGCAGAAGACGCCAAAGCGTAGTGAAAAAGAAGCCGCATCCGTCAAACCGAAGGCTCGGAAGTTATACACCAATTGCTGTGCGGAAAATCGGTGTGCGTGCTTATGGACGATGAATCATACGCTAAATGTCAATGAGAGATTGTTTGGCTCCTGCAAAAACTACATTAGCACCTGCCAACATGGCTTCTTTCCTGGCCGCTCCGTCGAAACGAATCTCGTCAGCTTTACGTCTTTCTGCATGGAAAATGTATCTAAGAAACTCCAAGTGGATGCCATCTACACAGATCTTAAAGTCTACACGTTTGATAAAGTTGTGCACGTCATTCTACTAGCAAAACTGGACAAAATTGGATGTTCTGCTCCCTTCTGCAGTTGGTTGAGATCATACCTCGTACAACGGCAAGTTACTGTCTGCATCGGAAACTACTCATCTTACTGCTTCTCGAACAGTTCCGGAGTTCCACAGGGAAGCATACTGGGACTACTGCTCTTCTCTCTATTTGTGAACGATGCAACGTTTATCCTGCCTAGCGGAGGTAAATTGTTTTTTGCTGATGACCTGAAAATTTACATTGTGTTTCGCAACCAAGCTGATTGCATAGAATTACAAAAGATTCTGGAGATCTTTCATGATTGGTGTGTGCGTAATGTTATGCTCCTGTGCGTCTCAAAGTGTTGTGTGATTAGCTTCCACCGAACTAGAAATGTTATTTTGTTCGATTATAATGTTGCTGACACTGTACTCCAACGTGTTGATCACGTAAAAGACCTTGGCGTCGTGTTGGATGAAAGGCTTACTTACACTCGCCACTTCTCAGCCACAATCGACAAAGCTAACCGTCAACTAGGATTCATGTTCATGGAAATCTCAAACGAACTCCGGGATCCTTTGTGTTTTAAAACTCTTTACTGCTCATTGGTGCGCACATTGCTTGAGTTTGCGTGTGTTGTCTGGAGTCCCTACCAGGCAGTATGGATTGCACGATTCGAAGCTGTCCAGCGTAGATTCGTCAGATACGCATTGCGCTACCTTCCTTGGAGCGACCCGCTTAATCTACCACCGTGTGCTGATCGCTGTCGTTTGCTGGGCTTGGATACTCTTGTTGAGCGGAGAAACGCATCGCAGGCTGTCTTCGTTGCCAAAGTTTTGCTTGCTGAATATGATGTGCCGGAGTTGGCTAAGATTAATGCATATGCACCTGTCCGTACACTCCGTCCGAGAGCTTTGCTACACGAGGAAGCGCACAATACCAATTATGCAGTTAACAGCTCTCTTGTCGCCATGGTTCGTCAATTCAACGTGGTATCCGACCAATTCGATTTTGGCATCACTTCATCCAGATTTCGTAATCGCTTAATGTCGGGCAATGTTAATGTATGACTACTTTTAGCTTTAAGTGTTTCATTAAGACTTTAAAGTCAGATGGACTAATGATAAATAATAATAATAATAATAATAATAATGTGAAAAAAAATAATGTAATTACAAAACTCTTCCTGGTGATCAGTATTACACCGTTCGTGATGGCCGAAGTGTTGACGACGCGGATAAGTCGATTTTTACCGAAAAATTCTGTCCCAAGGCCAGACCAATCGAAACTTTCTGGGCCCTGACCAAAGCATATTTGCGGAAACATGTAAAGGCAGCGGGTTCCATTAAAACGCTTGGAAATGACTGGGAAAAAGTATCCAAAAGTGTTGGAAAAGCATCTGTGCTGTGGATTTTGATGCCACTTGTAATTAAAGCATGCTATGGTCCATGAAGACATATTTAAAAAAAATTGTATTTACACCAAAACTTGTGCTATAGCTTGAAACGGATAATGTGATTGGAATTAAGTAAATAGGTTGTATCGTTGTTGAGAAATCGTTAAAAACGTACCGTGTAAATCGCGAAAAACCGTGTAAAAAAACCGCGTAAAAAACCATGTAAAAAAGACTTCAGTGTACTATAGAGAACATGAATATGAAATAAAAATCAAGTTTTCTGTAAACAGAGTTACATTATCGTTTTTTTAATCGTGCTTAGACATTATGCGACACCCTATATAAATCATTTATTATTGTAATCCTCTATTTCTCGATTACTTTTTTCGAAGGGACGTATCAGCTTTTGTAAACAGCTAATTAATTAAAAAAAAATAAAAAAGCGGCGCCGGTGGTGGAACCCCAGCAGGCCTGGGTTCAATCTAAGTCGGCGCCTCCGGGATGTTCTGAGGCATAAAATCTCTAATCACGGGAAGAAAAGGCGTTGGCCCCTGTCCATGTGTTGATGAGTTGATAGGTAGGGTCCAGGTGATGGAGCTGCCTTTCTGGCGTCGGTAGCATTGGCACTCAGTACGGAAAACAAGATTGACGGAAAATAAATCAAAGAAAAAAAAAAGAACATTTAGGCAGCAGCTGTTTAATATTAAACGATGCATAACTTTGGGCGTAATCACCATATACAATAATTCAGAACCAAGAGCCCAAGTACGATCCACTTATTGTTTATCGTGTAAATTCAACATGTTTGATAGATGTATTTGTAATAGGTCGTTACATAAAAGAACAACCAACATTTTCATGTGAAAATTTCTTATGTTAACTGGCAGAACCCCAAGGGTACAAAGTGGGTGGCGATGCTGTGGCACAGAGTATGCTTGTCCAGTTGTTGAGAAGCGTGCTTGTTTACAGCATCGCCACGCGCTTTGTGCATCCTTGGGGTTCTGCCACTTATTTCAATTTTAAGCTATTATTAAAAATTAAAAATTTGATTGAAATCATTTGCTCATTGCCAAAAATATTTAAAACTTGTTTAATGACAATATTTCTAATATCGAGAAAACATGTTTTATCATTCAACAATTGATCAATGATTAACATGCCACCATGATCAGAAAACGTCATGGTAATGAAACAATGCGGCATAGTAAACAATGTGAAGTGTGCAACAATTGCCGCCACACACCTGGACCCTACCTATCGACCCATCAACTCATGACCCGGGAACCAACGGCTTTACTTCCCTACTTCACTACACCACGGGCGCCGCTTAAAATTTATTCACTGGTAAATTTGAATATTTTCTGTTTCTTTGGAAACAAAATGCGCGGAAATCGTCGTCATATAAATTCCTATGGTGACAATTTCAGCGACGACTTCGGCACGTTTTGTTTCCAAAGAAGCAGACAATAAAAGAACACTTTAAAAAGCATGACTTCTCTGAATTTAAGAATCATTCATATGCAAGTGGGGCCTCATAGCCTAGTCAGTAAAGGCACGGTATTACCAAGCCGGAGGCGGTGGGTTTGATTCCCGGTCCGGTCGAGGGAATATTTCGGGTTGGAAATTTTCTCGACTTCCCTGGGCAATAGAGTATCATTGTGCTTGCCAGACAATATACAAATTCATGCATTGGTATTTGGCATCGAAAGCTCTCAATTAATCACTGTGGAAGTGCATTTAGAACACTAAGTTGAGAGCACGCAATAAGCTAATATGCGCCAAGCAATAAGCTTGAAATGCGAACAAGACAAGACGGACAAGAAGAATTCTAAATCATGTGTGTTTAAAACCCACAATATGAGCCTAAGAAGTAATCAATTACTTCATGTACGTAGGATAATCATGTGATATTATCTTTCAGAAATATGATAAAAATGTAAGAGAAATTGATCATTTTCGAATCATGATTTAGCATGCCAAAAATTATTCGATTTAGTTCAAATAATCAATGAATTTGATTTTTGCATAATTTTACGGAGATCCAATCAGAAGATCTTATAATCCACAAAAATCATTTGTTGATCATCGATGATCGATCGCTAAGGAGATACATACATTTAGGCATTTACCGAGCTAGGCTCTGTGTATCCATGTCGATTAAATTCGAATGCTAAGTAAGTATATAAGTTCTGTCGGTTAGATCTCTATAGCTTTGCAAAAATCATGTTGCGTGGTCGATTGAACTAACTTATTGCTTATTTATGGTGCCACAATAAGCCAATAAATAGTCAATATCCCTGACATGGGGCATTTTCGAATCATGATTAAGCATGTCAATACTTATTGTGCACCAAAATAACCAACGAGATAGTTCAAATAAAGCCTAAATGTATACATATCCTTAGTGATGATCATCGATGATCTACCAATGATTTTTATAAATTTTGAGAACGCCTACTGTCCAAAAATTAAATTTAATTATTATTTGAACTAGCCCTTTGATTATTTTAGTGCCACAGTAATTTTCGACGTGCTAAATCATACTTCGAAAATGATCAACTTCCCACACAGTTTTGTACGACGTCCTTATCTTATTTGCGAGGAAGAAAATCATATTGATTTCCATTTTTTTTTCTCATACACAGTTTTGTAAGCGGTCACCGTAGTCGACACATTTTCAGTGATAATCGTGCTTTCGACACTTGCAAAACAAGCTATCAAATTACAGTACCAAACTAAAATGTCATATGACAGGCTCTGTAATACGACATTGTCGCCGAAGGGGAAATGGGTCTAATGTTGGCCTATGGATCTAAGCTTGGGCCCATCGCTAAAAGTCTGCTAAATTTTATCTAGTTGAACTCGTCATTTCAATACTAATGGATATTTTTGGTCGCTATCGAAAATTTAGTCGATTGCTGAATTTATATATGGGCCCAAATTAGGGGCATTTAGGCCGACATTACATCCATTTTCCCTATATATGAAAATGAATTTCTGTCTGTCTGTCTGACCCTTATAGACTCGGAAACTACTGAACCGATCGGCGTGAAAATTTGAAGGCAGGGGTTTTTGGGGCCGGGAAAGGTTCTTATGATGGTTTGAGACCCCTTCCCCGCTGTAAGGGGGGGGGGGGCTCCCATGCAAATGAAAAAGAAAAATATAGCATGCTTTTTGGAATCGGCGCATAAACTCAAGCTAATATTGAATCCCGAGCAAGGTTGGGCACACTCAGTTAGTATGCTACAAAAACAAAACAAAAACCTCGTAGGGTAGGTGTTCCAGTAATGCCCATACATTCCTATTATGGTGTGTTCCAAATATAACCTATGAAATTCACATAGATCATAACTAGAACTCACCATAATAGGAACGTACAGCCATAACTGGTATATCTACCCTAATTGTTTGCCGAAATTCGATAAACGAACTTTTCCTTTTCCGAGCAGAGAGTTTATATTTTTGTTTGCATGTTCGACAATAATTGAGAGTTGTAATTTTTAATGATTACCGAGAACCCCGGAAAAAGAGCACTTGCCGTTGCCTTGACGAGATTCGGCGAAAAAAAACTTAGGATGTATGATGGTGGGTGGTGAAATCAGCTGGACGAACAACTTTTCGAATAAAAGCAAGCAAAACCAGTACGATACGATCCGCGATGTGCAGCGTAACGTCAAAATAATTTGTAGGATGCTTGCAGAACGCCAAAGCCTTACTATCACCATAGTTCTCGACAATCCACCTAAAGTGATGAAATTTTGCATACACCTGGTTCGAGACGGCATAGAAGTTACACAATTGCTGGAGGTCACCTGGAAGAAACCTATTT